ACTACTACTACTACTTACTACTAGTACGACTACTACTACTACTTACTACTAGTACTACTACTAGTACTACTACTACTACTACTACTGTTGGCATTTTGCGAAGTACATGACGTCGTTGTATGTACAACCTCCTGGCATGGCCGGCTCAGTGTGCTAGTTGCCGTGCAGGAGCACCGACAGCGGCCCAAGCGAGAACGCAGAGTGACGATGCAGGCTTCCGTTGGGGGAATGGGGGCTCTGAATCGAGGAACGCGATGATCGCGATGCCTGTGCGTAGTAAAGCATTTGCGGATATCTACACTGTCCAGAACGCATCCGAAGCATCTAAGTAGAATCTACGTTGCTTGGTAAATCCTCGTCACTGTCCAAGCCTTTGCGTTTACCTGCAACAGGTCCCGTCATTCATGCCGTTGCAGTTTTGCTGCCTGCCATGCCCATGGCATTGCACAACGCTCGGTGTGCTCTTCCACAGTAGCTGCCTTGGTTTGAGCTGAACCGGTACGTCAAACCATGCTGCCACGACATAGCCAAGCGTCCACAGCTGACCACTTCCTGCCTGCAGGCTGGTCAAAGTGACACATCGCCAGGGCGTCAGTGCGAGAGGGTGAAGAGTGCGTTACGTTGGGGCCGATCCAGTCACGAGAAAGCAGAGCTGAACTTGTCGAGCCCCAAATCTCCTACTTTGCGATGCAAGGTCACGGCGACATTACACGACCGTTGTCGAAGTTGATCTCCTGCAGGAGGCCCACCGCAGCCCAACGAGCTTTTTAGGGTCTCCCACGTCTACATTCACTACATCTGCAAGATTCCGAAAGATCTCCTCTTTGTCAGTGGAGGACGGACCGCGTGTAGAGGAGAAGGATGTGGAGGACTCGGATGTGAGCTCGACTGCGCAAGGAGCCCGGGTTTCCGATCCAGGGAGTCAGCAGTACATAAGACTTAGGAGGAATCTTTCCACGCTTTGGTGTGACCGTGAATCTTGCCACCAGGAGCCTGAGTACATCTGAGACGAGGCAACTTTGTGGCTCAGGGCTGTCATGGGATGACCCGCGCTAGGGAATAGGGCCCCTCACCGCGATTAGGGCTTCAGCTTAGTGCTCGGTTTCGGTTTCGCGAGATCGCGACTTAGGGACTGCGGTGCGAGTGACTCATCTTGAAACAGTCGAGTGGGCATGTCATTATTGCATCCGTGCACAGCAGAGCAGGCCGCAGGATCAGAGCTCAGAGATCCTTGAATGACGGTAGGATGAAGTTACTCTGCCTTTCATGCTTTGCCTATGCGGCTTCACCATGGTACCCGTAGCAGCACACACAGAGGCCCTTGGCTAGAACCCCAGTGCCCCTGTACTCTGATTTCCTGCAGCAATCAGCCTTAGTCACACATCAGCGTCGAACACAATTTCGCGTGCTGCGCGGCCGTGGCACCGTGCGCAGCAGCGTCATGCTCCAACGGGCTTCCGGCTGAGACACCGGAGTCAGAGACAGTGTTTTTCATGTGGTAAGTGCAGTCCGTATTAGATGCGGATGAATGTAGTGGATGCGCACTGCGAAAGAAATCCCTGTCTCGAGGTAGCATGGCATTCTGCCTTCTACTCCGACACCGAAGGGCGGCCTGCATGCAGTAGGCCCACCAGATTTTTCAGGTGGCCGAAGATTTGTTCAAGCCCGCTCTAAAGAGCCGGCAGCCAGCACTCTGCTGCTACTCTCTGTCCAGCGATAATGTTGCCAAGGGCGCAGCTCAATGAAGCCATGCGTTTGCCAGGTGGGTGTTTGACGGACGGTTGCAAGTTTGTAGCTGTCCGTGGGGACATTCCATGACGAGTGCACTTGCAGGTGGCGACCCAGAGGATGGAATACCAGAAGGTCCGGATGCTGCTTGCCTGAAGAACCGAAGTTGATACCAGCACTATGAACTGGGCGTGACCTTTGCAATTAGAGTGCAATTGTCAAGCTTCTGGTTCTATAAGGACATTGCAGATCCGCACGTGCCCCGCAAGCTCCTTGATGAGCACATTCTGCGAGAGAAGTCTGCCTGAGCCTCATTGGCAGGACCACCCCCTTAATCCTGAAGCCGCTCACCCCTTCATCCTCTAGTAACTCTAGTCTAGTTCACAGCATCAGCCCGTCCGACAATCCTGACACCGCGACGGCCGTAGAAGGGCCGGGCCCGAATCCAGGTGCGGAGTTTCAGCCCATATGGCCTCCGGGTCCTTGGCCGAAGGCTCCTGGGACTTCAGGGCTCTGCGTGGAGGAGGAAGAGATCAGGATTCCGGGTCTGCTTGGGGTCCGGGATCCAACGGTATGAGTCCGGAGTAGTTCTTCTCGGCGTAGGCTGAATCTCGCACCTTCCCACGTGTCTCTGGGAAGGCTCTTTGTCTGCAACTTCGATGATGACGATCAGCTTCAGGCCGACCACCACTTTCTCTCTTTGCTGTTGTCCTGTGTTGTCCTGTGAGCATGTCCGGCTTGACACCTGATGCCAGGAAGAGGGTACAGGCCTCAGCTTCCTGGGAATGTGTGCAGCAGTGAGCTGTAATCCACCACTCTGCGCCTTTCGGACAGGCTTTCCGAGTTTGTGTGCTTCATCCTTGGGGAAGAGTGCATGACAGCAGCGGTGCCTGGCCGAGGCAAGTGCGGCGTGGTCGGAACGCGCTTTCAGATCCCAGGGATCAGCCTGCGCCTGGAGCCGGGGAGCCTGGACCTGCCTTTTGGACGGGAGGAACATGGAGCAAAAATGAAAACGCAGGGCTCATGTTTAAACCCTATGCCCTTATTATCCTGCTGTAATGAATCCGATCAAATCCGATGAAGACGACCCCACTTAGACCAAACTCGGAAGTCGGAAGTCTAAAGTTCGGTGTCTTCTCCCTCACTAGTATACTTAGTAGACCCTCCGTGCACAAGCATGAAAAGGTCAAAGATCTGGCGAAACAGTCTATTTTTCGTGCGTTGGAACGACCGCTGCTGCTTGCTCCTTTGCGCTTGATTTTGTAGATTGTAGGCTGCATCCGGCTTTCCGCTTCGCAAAGGAGCTCAACTAGTGCTTTGTAGTGCACGCATGCACTTGAAATCGCAGACTTTCGGAAGCCCGGCGATGCCCAAAAAACTCCCAAACCCCCCTAAGATCTCCAGATCCCTACAGCCGAAACCCCGAAACCTGTCACCGAAATCCAAGCCGATCCAGGTCTGACAAGACCATCCTCCCGGTCCATCGTGGGGATCCCGGTTTTAAAAATTCTGACGCCTCAACTGCCACCCCGGAGGCCTTCCACTTTGAGCCCTCCAGGAAAGCTTCTGAGTTCTGCGTCTTCGTGCAGAGGGGTACGTCGCACGGCTGAGGCTACGACGACGTGAAGATGGTTTGGACGGCGGAGCAGGTCTGGTGATCCGAGTACGGCAAGCTCGGCTCAGACAATGGTGGACGGCATTGCAACCAGTTTAAAGACATCAGAACCAGTAGCCGGCGTTTCTTCAATGATAGGAGGTTTGCTTGGGGACACTGTGGGACCTTACGGCTCTTCAGAAGCTGAGTGATCGAATGCCCTCATGGATTGTTTGGAAAACCTAGCGTGTTGCGATGCCTTCCACCGCCTGTGCCCTCGTCTTTTTAGCGACCCTGCATCAGGCTCCCCATGTGATGGTCGAGAACTACAAACTGCCAAAGGTGCGGAGACTGCGGCAAGCAAGATCAGTCTTGTGTGCCGGTGGGAACCTATCAACCTATCAGGGCAAAGACGGAAAGCTGGACTTTGATGCCATGCGCTCATTTGCAGTGTGATCTTTGGATCCGTGGTTGGGCCACACAGAGATGCCGTGCTAAGATGCTTCCCGTGATGCCTTTCAAGATGACGCGCTTCAGCCCTGGAGAGGCAGGGTCCCTTGAAACTCCGCACGACGATCACCTGCGAAGCTTTGTTGACTAATCCTGAGAGCTATGCTTGTCCTGTAACCGCGGTTTGTGCTGTAGCTGGTACCCCCTTCTGGGATTTTGACCGCTCCGCATCGCTCGTTTTGCCATGGCTCTTCGAAGCGTGAGCTACGACGTTGATGCAGCATCCCGGATTGCCACAATCTCGCTGAATCGTCCGGAAAGGCTGAACGCGATAGACGATCACATGCCCAGAGAAATAGAAGCATGCGTGGCCCGCGCAAACGAAGATGATAGAGTACACGTGATCATTTTACAGGGTTCAGGGCGGGCATTTTGCGCTGGCTATGACCTCAAACAATATTCAGAAGGCTCGCCGGTTGGTGCCGAGGCTTCCCCTAACCAGGACATGCCCTGGGACCCCACTGTTGATTTTAAGTTCATGTGGGCGAATACCCGGAACTTCATGTCCTTGTGGACATCATTGAAACCAACGATATGTAAAGTTCACGGTTTTGCCGTCGCTGGCGGCAGCGACATTGCACTTTGCTGCGACATTGTTTTGATGGCCGACGATGCACGGATCGGCTATCCTCCTGCCCGCGTGTGGGGCTGCCCAACAACCGCCATGTGGTCCTACAGGCTAGGTCCCGAAAAAGCCAAGCGGATGCTGCTAACCGGCGACTTGATCACGGGTGTCGAAGCAGCCCGAATGGGACTGGTCTTGGAGTCTGTCCCGTCAGACAAACTGGATGAACGCACTTCAGAGCTTGCACGCCGTGCGTCGAGTGTTCCCAAAAATCAACTGATCATGCAGAAGATGGTGGTAAATCAAAGCATTGAAGCCAGCATGATGTCGACTCAGCGACTCGCTACACTCTTTGATGGTGTTACGCGGCACTCCCCGGAGGGCATGTGGTTCAAGGAGCGTGCCGCAACCGCAGGTTTTGCTGCGGCCGTTGCAGAACGTGACAGCGGCAATCCGATTGCCCCGCATGTCTCCAGGAAAAGCATTCCATCGAAGCTTTAGTGGCCACAAAAGCAGAAACGGCGCTTGAGGGCATCTGCGGGTCGAAAAAGCGAAGTTGCCATCATGCGCCCCGAAGCCTTGAAATTGCGATGCCGAGCTGTCGCGGCTGGTAGAGGCTCCGGAGCCCATCGAGAGCTCGGCCGGGGCACTGGCAGGCACAGTCTCTTGTGAAGTGAAGCTCTGGCAGTCCTGACCCGCTTCATGTGCACGAGCTCCCTCAATACTTGTGTGGATCAGGGGCCCTTGGGAAGGTGTCTGATGAGTTTGCCTACCTGAACCCGATCGAAGAAGCCAGCTCCCTGAACCTCCGATATGTATGTATATACATTGGTTATGTACATTGTGTGTTTGGAGCAGTCGTAAGTGAAGTGGTGGTGGTGGTGGTGGTGGTGGTAGTAGCAGCAGCAGCAGCAGCAGGAGGAGTGCTGTAGTAGCAGTGGTGTCTGTGAAGAAAATTGCTGCGAGTTATTACCCCAGAAGCTGCCAGTTTCAATTGCCATCCCACAGCCTCTGGTGCGACTGGCACGGGTCGGCACCTTAGAATCCGTCGATGCGTAGATTCCCAGACGTTCTCCGACTTATCCGACATGGCTATTTGGAATGTGAGCAAGGATAGGAACGAATGAAGCCGAATGCAGACCTTTCTAGCTTCCAGGGCTTTCGAAGATGCCCTAATCTGTCTTTGCCTGTCCGGTCCGAGGCCCGGCGTGAAGACTTCCTGGTGGCAGCTGGGCAGCCCAAGACCCGCAACCAGGGCTTTCTGTGGGATTGTACAGATGCTAAGAAAACTGATGAGACATGCGACTACAACTGCTACTGCTGCTGCTGCTTCTGTCGTTGTTGTCATCGTCTTTGTCGTTGCCGTTGCTCTCATTGCGGTCAGTGCTTGCGTGCTATTGCTGTTCTGACCTTGGTGTGGTCGTGGTCGCCATCTTCGTCGTCGTCGTCGTCGTTGTTGTTGTTGCTCTTGGGCTTGTGGTCGTGGCGGTTATGGTTGTGGCCGCGGTTGTCTTGTCTTTCTAGTGATTCTAGTGTCTCATCTGTCTTTATTAGCATTGTGCTAACACTATAAAATACTTGCGCTAAGAGTAAAGACAGGATGCTGTACGGCTCGGGCGGGACAGAGGTTCCCCGCGTCCTATCCTATCATGTACAGCAGATGCTGCGACTCGGTTCCCCGCGTCCCACTAAATTAATTTCAACGGATGATCGCGTGCACCTCCCACTGTGTGCATCTGTGGCTGACGTCCTAGAATCCTATTATTAACAGAGGATGGTGTGGCTACGGGTGCCCCGGAGATGTGAGTCATCGTAAACCCATACGACATGCACCACTTTGGGCTCTCGAGAGCTGTCCATCGAGCAGTACTTGAACGAAGTGATTTAGGGTGTTCTTCTGGATCACGCAGGCTAGGCGGGAGAAGCATGTGTCGGCTCCTCCTGCGTCTTCCCAGTACTTGGTGGAAAGCACTTTCGTGCTGTTGGGGCCTGCTCAGGAATGTTGCTGAATCCTCCCAGTACTTGGGGGTGGCTTTGAATCCGCCAGTACTTGGGGGAAAGCATTTTGGCAGTCCTCTTGGGTCGTCTCCTGGTGGTCTCTTAGTCTCTTCGGGGTGTGCATGCTGCTAATCCAGGAATCAGCATGTTCGAGCAAAGGGAAGCATACTTGCAAAATTGACCCAAACCCAAAATTTGAACCCTCAACTTGGATACTGCCCCCACTCAGTAACAGTTGAATAATATCTGTAATTTAGATATATAAGGCCCTGAATAGGAGCCCTCTTACAGACTCTTACTGTATGGGGGCAGTACCCAGCCCTAAACCACACTCATATAGAAGCTTAAATTACTGCCAACATTATTGCTTAGGGTCCCTTATTATCTAATTATGCTATCAAGGAGCCCAAAACCTTATTCTACTTATTTAGGCCCCTACATCATGAGTTTCCGGCTCTGCTCGGCAGGACCCTCCCTGCAGCTTAGCAGCCCCGGCGGCCAGGGTCTCTGGCTGACATAATGACTAATACATAGTGCAACATGATAGAACTCATACTACAAAAGTAGCATACTACGATATGAGACAAGCTGTGACGTGATATTTCGTGTATGTATGTACGCAATGCAGAGAAGCTTCGACCAGTCTCTCGTTCTGGATTTTATGTGTGACGAGCTGGCAGCGCGGTAGCTGTCCATCGCTTCGAGTTAATGAGCTTCCGTGTCGCACAGCAGACCAAGCATGAAACGGAGGTTGGTTGCAAAGAGAGGTATGTTGCAAGACTTCCCTAGTTTACTGGTGCATTCTTCCGACTTGGTGGCCGCTGGCATGGCTTGAGTAATGAGGGCGTGGCCCTCAAGTTAATGACAGAAGTTTGCGACTCCGACAAAGCGGAGCAGACGGCAATGTCAGCGAGATTCCGAAGAAAAGGACATCCAGTTGCGATGTGCTCTAGGAAAGGGGATATCGCGGATGTCCCTGGCCCCAATGCAGCATGCCACATGGTATTCTGTGGCACTGCTCTCCAATCTGCGCTGTATTGCATGGACCTTCTCCCAACTTTTTCATGTTCATGTAGTGTCTGGCAGCAACGCTTCGGTTCGTTTGGCCCATACTGCAGAGCTCGTTTGCGAACTGTGGCTTAGAACTTTCGAGGCAACGGCCCAGAGAGTCTGACAGTCATGCCGATACACACCACGAAGCAGAGCAGTATCACCCACATAGGACGGGCTGCAACAAGTAATGTCCATGCTGGCCATGCTGAATGCTGATGGCATGATGATTGTCTGTGGTTAACACTTTAATGGTGATGATGATCAGCTAAGCTCAGATAGTGGTAGCAACCATAACGAGTTGCCGTGATCATAAGGACAGCGATGGTCAATATTCGGATGATTCATTTTCAACATGCTTGTCATCTTCGCCATGACCACCATCGCCATTACCATATAATCATCGTCATCATCATCATCATCATCATCATCACTCTTATCGCCATCATTATCATCGGTACCATCACCGTTTCCACCAGCAGCCGCTCTGCATGTGCATCAGCATCAGATACTCTTATAGTGATTATCTCGTGCCACTATCCGTCGCAATCGCGGCGGATACTCTTTAAACCCCAAGCCTTAAACCGCCTGCGCAGGAGCTTCAAGATGTCGTGGATGCCCGCTTTTTTTTGCTTCGGTTCCGGTCGCGACTCCGGGCCTCGACGGCTTCTGCCTATCCGAAGCTGCAGGTTGAAGCAGTGGCTGCGCAGAGAGCAAGGGAGAGGAGAGATATGCAATAATATAATAATACAAGAAAAGCATACTATAATCTAGTATAGTATAATGGATTATAGGATAAGATGTGACATTATAAAATTGTACATACATGTTTCTGCCGATAATACATTTTCAATGAGAAAGGGAGCACAAAGGGTTTGGAATCTGAATCGGGGAGACCAGACCTGGTAGGGATGCTAGTGTTTGAGTTCAGCAGGGGGGGTCTCCACAGCTGACCTGCCAAGACCTTCGGAGAAAGTGCTATGGGCGCGCATCCGCAAGGGGGCGCCGACACTCAAAACCTTGTGCTTATACACCCCCGAAAGCCCCATAACAGGTGGGGGCCAGAGAGAGAGCCTACAGCCCTGGCGAAAGAAAGAGAGAGAGAGGCTCAGAGTTGGCTGTCTTCCACCCGCAGCTTCGGAAGTCTAGCACCGTGCTCAAAGATTCAGCACGTGTGACTACCCGATGTTTGTCGGCTAGGGCGATTTGGGAGACGATCAGCCCCATGGAGCCCCTGAAGAGCCGAGACTAAGATACGACGCACGAGTTGAACTTGAAAGCTGCCCCGGCTTCCGCTTCTACAGCAGGAACTTTGCCTTTTCCCCTTCGTGATTTCTTTCTCTTAGATTGTCGTGGAGCGACTGGATCCCTAAGCCTTGGCTTGAGCCGATAATGCTTGTGTCGATGAGCCGCAGCCACGGATGTCCGCCGAAGCGAAAGGACCATGGACTTTGACTAGCTCAACCCCAAACCCCAACGACTAAGCCCCCAATCCCCATCAAGCCCCAAGCCCTAAACCATAAAGCCCCTAAGGCCCAAACCCCAAACAATAAATTCCAAACCCCTAGTCCGCCTTTGGGAATGTCAGGGCTCCGAGCAGATCTGGCAAGGCTTGTCGACGAACTTGAGCCTGCAGCTATGAAGCCAGGCTTCTCGTTTCCTGAACATCCCCGGACTGCAAACTTCCCATTTCACCGTGTAGCATGGTAGAGTATAGCGTAGCATAGCATAGTATACTTTATTGTTGGCTTATCGTAGCTATCGGTAGAACCCTGGAGACGCGAAGATGTCCAGGAAGCGACCGACGCACTAGGAGATCCCTCCCTCAAGGATTCCTTAGACTTGGCGTGCTCCTGCTGGGCCAGGCGATGCCCCCTAATTACAGACATCATATTATGGGAGGTTGTAACACGGTGTCCTTGGTTCCTTCTTCAGAGGTCTTTAGAATAAGTAGCCTGCTATGCGATGCCGCGAGCAGATAAGACATGTATGCGAAGGTGTTCGCGTGCAACATAAGGCTTTGGGCTGTAGGTGTGACACAAGGTTGGGTACCGGGTACGGTTTCGAGCCTTCCGTGCCGTCGAAACATGTTCACTGCGCATGAGGCATTAAGCAAGTACAAGTAATCGCCTTGCTGAGCAGTAGCAGGCCTGAAGCACTTTAACGGCTGCGGGCTGCGCTGTGTGTAGCGCAGCTGGCGCAGCGCCAAGCGTGCAAGACCCCAGTGGTGCCGCCAATTAGTTTGCCAGACCGATGCGCATCGATCTTTTCGCTACAAAAGTAGAATGAAGTTCCCATGCTGCAGTCGGGTTGTATCGGATTGTGACGGAACCTTGCGAGACCGCTTCGACGGTTTTTCCCAGTGCTCTGATGTTTTTGAGTGAAGGAATTATTGGCTCTTTGCAAAGCCGTCGGAGCTCTTGAACCAACCACTCGGCAATTCCTTGCCGCACTGCAACACCAGTCTCAACAAGGCCATGCCGTAGAGCGTTTTGTGCCTGAGGGATTGGCCTGGCCTTGAATATTGCAACTCAGTTTGACGCTTCTGCGCATGCGCTCTACCTGATGGCGCTGAGGGCCGTGCTGCCGGCCACAGGCATGCTGCTGGCTTCAAGCCTTCCCTTGCCTTCACAGAGCATAGCGTCTAGTCAGTTCTCTCAGCCTCTTCAGCTCAGCCACTCTGTCACAGCGTTGCAGGCAATTTGCAGCTGCAGCTTGCGGCACTTCCTACGCAGCGAAGGCATGCGAGGAACACCAGCAAATTCTCCTCCATTTCAGGCCCAATGTAAGCCACAAAGCGAGAAAGCGCAGAGGGTCAAGGTGGCAGACGAAGGGAAGGCAAACCCGATCTCAAACACATTCAAACACTCAGGGCGCCACGGAGGGCCGAAGATCTGCGATCCCGGGCAAGATGGGTCTTGCCCGCGCTGCTCTCCTGCACAGGGACAAACGCCTAATTACCGCCTATCCCCGACACTGAAGCCGAAGAAGCTAAACCCCATAAAATTTATCATAAAACCTCAGCTTTATTGAGCAAACCTTAACCTTAGACCCTAGCGTGACATTGTAGGGAAGTCTTCCCGAGGGAATGAGAGGCGTTCAAACAAAAGCAACCGGACATTTACCCGAGGCTCGTCTCGGCTTTCAGCTGCAAGCGCCGGGTT